CCTGAGCCCACGCCTGGTTCCTAAGGCCTGCCCGAAACGCAAGGACAGCACTAAGGGAGCTAGGGTTTGGGGCTTGTTGTTCTGCTACCACCCGCCCAGCGCATATAGGGATTGAGGGTTTGGGATGAGTTTGAGAGCAGAAAACTGGCCCTGGCCCCGATCAACCCCCCCTGAGGCTTGGTGCCTTGATATCCAGCTCGAAGGCATGCGACTCCTGTGCAAGGTCTGACCCTAAAACATGTTTTGCAACGGCCTGCCGCTTTGCACCCTCACCCTGCACCCTACACCCTGGACTCTTACAGCGGGGGCGACCCTCGACCTCGCCCTAGGCCCTGCAGGGGGCCTCGAACGCAATTTCTTGAGCAACTGGCCCCGAAGGCCTCCCGTCTGAAACTCTCCTTTCCTCCAGACCACTCATCAGTCTCTCATCCATCAAAAGATGAGACTCCAGGGCAGACCCCAGGAGCCAAGAAAAGACCATGAGTCTAGGCCAGAAGGGGCCCCCCACAATCCCCCCACACACCCCCCACCGAGGTGGCAGTCGGGGCGCAGCCATGTGCGAAGCCACTCTCTACATCCTGCACAGTTCTGCGCCAAATCACAGCAAGCCCCACACGTTGCGCCCAGAAAACTTCGATGGAAACCCAAGGTCGGATCAGCTTCTGACCAACGAGCCTCCCTTGGAACACATGTCCAGCAGTTGTCTGAGACGAAAGGGTCGACATCAAGGGCTCTTAGCGTTTAGATGCGTTTAGGGATCCTTCTTAACACTGAGGAACATACGAGCATGGAAACCCGCAATAGAACCGATTACTTGGCACAGAAGGAGAAACCATTTCACTACTGGCTTTGCTGGGACGATGTTGTTAGGCTTACGGTCTCAGGCGAATCGTTCAGCTTGGCAGCCTCGAAACCCCTAAATAGCAGAAGCCTAAACCTCGTAGAACACATTCGACGGCCCTCACCCCAGACCCTCCACCTCACATCCCACACCCCCAGCTCCTCAACAGCCTTCAGCCCGAAACGTAAACTCGCCCCCCAAAGCCTCAACATCCCTTAGGGTTTAGGGTTTAGGGTCTAAGGTCTAGGGTCTAGGGTTTGAACTGCCCCGAGAAACCCACCCAGTCGCCTCGTCGAAGCGCAGCGGCACGCTGCGGAACTCGGCCCCCAAGCCGTGAGCCTCCGTTCGCACGCTTTGGGTCTAGGGCTTCGGGCTTTGGGTTGGTTTAGTTCAGGGTTTAGGGTTTGTTTTCGCTCCTGCATAGCTGGCCGTACCGCAAGCAGGGTGTGATGGTAGGTTCGTTCTGTTAGGAAAAAGGAAAGGGCGGATCCATCGCAGACCCTGCTTTACTGTGGAGAAAGAGCACCCTCGCCTCCCTCCCCCAGGCTCAAATCCCTTCAGGGTCGTCATCCCTCTCCCCTGCTCATCATCGCCTTAAGGTTCAAAAGGCAAGAAACCCAAAACAGTAGCCCTCAGGTGTTGCAGGGAGGCGAGCACTCAGTGCACTACGCGTCAGCCTGCCATTCTACACCTAGCACACACAAGGCCCCCCCTGCCCAAACGGTGACCTGAAGGCAGTGCGTACACTGCTTTCAGTCGGCTGGTGCATGCACGAGCCCTAAAATCCTAAAGGCATCCCACTTCTACGCTGCACAAAATCATGGGAAAGCTGTCAGCCAGGGCCACTGATGGCTAAGCCGGGCATCACCTGGCAAGTCGGAGCATGAGCTCCTCAGCTCCGGCAAGTCCAAGGAGGCATAAGCCCTGCGCATCATGCCCTCCTGCAACACCAGTTGCTCGTAAACCCTCAGCCAGAGGTGCTCCAGTTCCTTCTGCTCTTCGTCATTGAGGCCTTCGGTTTCGATCTCGGGCCGCGCGGCTTCTGTCGCCGCGAAGTGCCCAAACTTCGGCGCAAGCCCTTTCACGACCTTGCAGGCGTCGACGTACTTGTGCTCGTTCTTCAGGAAGAGGATAAACTTGCCCTTGGCAGGGCGCTCCTTCCTGTTGCTCCAGCCTGGCAAGTTTGCCACCTCTTTCTCCACCTTCACGATCTTGCTTTGGATGAACGTCTTGTAGGCCTGCGCGGCGGCTACGTCGTACTCTGCGCCGGATTCTTCGGCGGCTTTTAGCAGCTTCGTCCCTGGCCCCACCGGAAGCCTGCAAGGCGGGGGCCTCTTGAAACTCCGCTGGCTTGCCCAACTTGAGCCAAAATGGCTTTAGGGTTTAGGGTTTAGGGTTTAGGGTTTAGGGTTTAGGGTTTAGGGTTTAGGGTTTAGGGTTTAGGGTTTAGGGGCTTGAGCCAAAACGGCTTTGGGGTTTAGGGTTTAGGGTTTAGGGTTTAGGGTTTAAGGGATTTTTTGGGGTTTAGGGTTTAGGGATCCGGGCAAGGCTTTGGGGAGGCCTGACAAGGCCTGAAAGGATAAGGCGCTCTCCACGCTCAGGCGTTAAAAAAAGAAAAAGGGCGCCTCGACAGAACCTCTGTTGAGGTGGTTCCGGGGTTAGGGCGTTCGAGCATTTGTTTTGCATTCTTTGCGCGGATCTGCTGCATCTACCAATGGTTTAGGGCCTCGGGGTTTCAGGGCTTCGGGTTTAAGGTGCCCAGAACCCTAAGCTGCCTGTGACCGGTAGAGCTCGAAGAAAGGCTCGAGCGCCACGATCCTCAGAAAAGGGTCTTGAAATTGACCAGAGACGAACAGCTCACTTTCCGAGCCCAGCGGGGGGTTGATTTAAATATGGACCCCGTTTAGGGGCCCCGAAAACCCTGAACAATAAGGAGTAGACTATCATGGAAAGCAAACACAGCACACAATTTGATCGATCTGGGAGCCTTTTCTGCAACAACGCTCCAACGGATCCGAATTACATGGCCTAGGGTTTTGGGCTTGGGTTTCATCATGGGATGTCATAGGCTTCTGTTTAGACGTGACACGCGTGCGCTTCTGCGCACTTGGCGCGTTCCCTGTCCTTTCGGGGTGGCCTACCTGACCTGTGGCTGACCTGCATTGCAGGGCCGGCGAAAGGACCCCAATTACACTTGCTTACGATTCGCCAACACAACCGAGCCACCCCAAGACAACGTTCCTGCATCTGTCGCTGCCCGAGATACACGCAAGGCGTGCGCAAACAAGGGCAAGCCCCCTCAGAACAAGATCAACGACGCGCTCGTGTGCCAGCATCCCCTCGGGTGTGCACTTGCATGAGTCGTATGTTGCCCTTTGTACCCTTTGTACTTTGTATGCTGTATGTTGTACGTTGTTCGTTGTGCGTTGTATGTTGTAGGTTGTCTGTTGTATGTTGCTTGTGGGAACTAGCAGGAGCGTCGTGGCAGTAGTAGTCGTCGTGGTGATCGTTGTTGTAGCAGAGGGCCCTCCAGCCCCCAACCCAAAAGAAAGCCCACAGACACGGCCCTCTCTTGGCACAACCCCAAGGCCCAACACACTGCCCACCACACAAGCAACCCACCTCAAAACCCCGAACCCCTTTCAGCCCCGAGTGAAGAACACTCTGATCTACACCCAAGGCACTCTGTTGCCTCGGGAGATCGCGACAGCGCTGCCTGTTTATGATGAGGCTTCTCCACGTTTTGGAGGAAGTGCTTGGAAACTGGGGCTTTGGTGTTGGTGCGCGGGGATCAAGAAAGTTTTGCGATTTTGGATTGCAGCGCTAGAGGCCAACTGCTTGTGAGCTTGTGTTTATTGCAGGGACAGCACAGCAAGCTGCAGACCGCCTGCATCGCCAGGAACAGGGCGTTGGTAGCACCCACAGTGACAGCAACCTCCAAAAGGAGAACATACGGGGCGTGGACTCTGTGCCGAAAAGCGCCGGCAAGCGGAAATCATCTCTTCAGAGACTCCAAAAAGCCTTCGAACGGACCGTTCAAGGCATAATCACAGGGAACCCCGGAGTTTGTAAGGATCCTTGCTTTCGAGTTGTACCCCGTCCCGACTGTTCGGCGCCTCCTTCAGGGCGTCCAGAGGCCGTCCGAGGTGGCCGCTGTAGCGCTCGGCAAGGACCTCTCACTGGTTCGACGTTCTTATCGCGGTTGGGGGAACTAGTAGGGCTCGTCGGGATGAGCAGACGGGGCTTGGGCTGGGCTTCAAGCCGGGAAGATCTCGGAGCTTCCGCGCCGCATTGCAAACAACGATTTGGGGGCAGCATGTACGGCTTACCCAAGGCTGATGCGGCGTGGAGGATTGGCATAAATTGGAAGACTTGGCAGCCCAATCCAAGCTTGGGGACATTGAAACCTTCAAGGATCGCTTGCGGGCATAGTTCACAAGCCTCTTGGCCGAGCAGGGAGGTTGACAAGGTGCGCCGCTTGCTTGAGCTGCAGTTGTCTCGAGTCTTATAAAGCGTGGTGGGGGCGCTCGGACGCTTGGGCAACTTCATGCTCGCACGGCCGTATGTGCCTCAACCCTGAACCATGTGGCGGTGGCAAACACACCCCTCTAAACCCTAAACCCTAAACCCTCTGATCCCACATAAACCACGTCGTGCGCACGAGGCAACTGAAACTTTGAAGCCTGAACTTACCACATACCTCATGCTAAGCGAGCCCTGAAGGGTAAACCCCAAACCCTCTCACCTCCACGAGAGGCACGTGCCCAGCTGTCCTGGCTTTGAGGTCGAGGCTCAAGATCGGCCCACACAAAGTTTAGGGCTTAGGGTTTCCAAGAAAAAAGGGTCCAGCAGAAACATACTCCACGAGTCAAAGGACGGGCAAAGGCACTTTTCACTTGACAGGTCCTATGCCCCTTGGCACGCTGGACACGTTATGCGAGGTCGCAATACCCGTTGTACCATGACTCATCATATCAAGAACCCCCATGTATGTGCATTCCGTACAGTGCGCGTCAGCAGGTCCGACCGGACCTTCCCCGCCCAAAGCACCCAGTACTCCTTCATGCAAGACTAGCCCTTGGTGCAGAATTCGAAGCCTGGATAGTTTAAGGGGCACTCCTTCATTCATCCCTATAAGCAGCTTCATGGCAAAAACCCTCTACAATGAAAGCCTGAAGGTGGTCCTGGTGTACTGATGGCGTGTGCGAACCTTGCCTTTGCCTGTGCCATCCAGCTCGTCGCGAAGGGCCTTTGTGGTGAGTGTTTCGTAGTGCTCAGGGTTTTAGGGTTGGAGATTTAGGTGCGTTTTGCAGCTTCCGGGATTAAGGCGTTTGGACAAACCACTCAACGGGAAAAGCTGCAGGAGAGTTTGGGATTGTGGGCTTAGTTTCGTATTTGTGTTGGTGCTAAAAGCCCTGACCCGTCTGCCTGCACCACGAAGTCCGGTGGGTCGTAGTTTGGGAAGCCCTGCCCCAAATCCACGCAGGAGTCGCCAAGCATCCTTGCATAGGAGATGGAAGTGGGTCATGTGGCATGTCCAATGAGGTTCCGCCCGACAGTAAACCCAAAACCCCTAAACTCCACATCTCAGAACGGATTCAACGCACCCTCAACCCTAAACCCTAAACCCTAAACCTTAGGTCAGCAGCCTCGCCAGTCCACTGAACTCGCCGAAGACACTCTTCGTCTGGGCACCTGCTCTCTTTGCCGCTTGAACCCTCTGAAACCCAAGCGCCTGTCAGACACCCTCATGATTCCCTAAAACCATTCATCACGAACTGGAAGCCCCAAATGCCTTCCTAAACCTTAAGCCTGAACCACCGCCAATGACATCTACAAATCCTACCAACCCCCCACTTCCCTCTACAACCCTGCAAGCCCTAAACCATGGCCTTCCAACAATGCTGGCCTTGGGGATTCTGAGCTCCAACCCCTTCGGTAGCTTTCTTTCAGTATCCCTCAATCCCTCCCTAAACCCTAAACCCGAAACCCCAAACCCCAAACCCTAAACCCTAAACCCTAAACAAACCCTAAACCCGAAATCCCTAAACCCTAAACCCTAAACCCTAAATGCCCTGAAACCTACAAGGGACGTCCCGGTGCCTGTGCGCTTGACCTCGGGGTCCGGGGACTCCACCGGCTCGTCGTCCTCGGCAAGGGAAGCCTCGGGCTGGCCGACCTCGGCTTGGCGGGTTTAGGGTTTGGGGTTTAGGGTTTGGGGTTTGGGGTTTAGGGTTTAGGGTTTCGGGTTTCGGGTTTAGGGTTCAGGGTTTCGGGTTTAGGCTTAGAGCTTGAAGTTTAGGGAAGCCAGTACCCGGATCCCCTGCAAACGATTCGCGTAGAGCCGGCCGTGCGGGGTATCTCTCTGATCTAACAGATATAACATCGTCCTTGCACGACTTAGGGTGCCAATAAACATGGCTTTCCGAAATTCGCCTCGGCTTCCTGCCGAGAAGCGTCTGGAACAAGCAGACCCGGATCGGGCCTCCTTCCCCCTAACCCAACCCTTCCCCCCATGCCGAATTTTCTGACGCCACCCCCCCCCCGCCCTGTGGGACCCCCCCCAATCCCTTGGAGGATCTGCAAACCGACGCCGTGGAGGGTCCTGCCTTTCGGTGGCTCCTACACGGGAAATTCCTCAAAACCCCCCCACCCCCCACCCCCCCCCCCCCCCCCCCCCACCCCCCCCCCCCCTCCCACCCCCCGCCCACCCCCACCCCCCCCCCCAACCCCCCCCACCTCCCCCCCCCACCCCCCCTTTACCCCTCTGCCCTTCCTCCCTTTTTTTGCGAAACCCTCTTTCCTCCTTTCTGGGGCCGGCCCGGCTGCCGAGGCGGCGCGCGCAAGCGTTTACAATTAAATTAGGGGCACCTGATTCGTCTAAATTGAGGACCCCTCATTTTCGTAAGCCCCCAAATGGAATTCAGACCATGTCACAGGGGCTGAGGGCTTCAACAGTGCTAAACTCGGAAGCCCCACTGAAGTTCCAGCCCTTTGAACCTTTTTGAGTGTGGACGCGAACCGCACACACGCAGCCGAGACGAATCCTTCAGATGCATCGGGAAAGTAAGGATCCTACGATGATCAAAGGATACAACCTCAGAGTATTAGAGGGAATGTAACAATGTAGGGATCCGGAATAACCCTAAACCCTTTTTTACGGCTAGGACTGCTGCACTGCCTGCCAGGGACGAGAACCATGCCATTCGAGAGCGAGCTTCGCGGACTCACCCTAAACCCTAAACCCTAAACCATGGGCCCCGGCAAGCTTTGTCGCCACGCGGATCAGCTCACGGGCAGCGCTGTCCACGTCGCCATCTACGGAAAGGATGGTCGAATCCCACTGGAAGGATCCATACTCCTGGCGAAGGCTGAATTCGTTCAGAGGGTTTAGGGTTTAGGGTTTCGGGTTTAGGGTTCAGGGTTTAGGGAATAGGTTTGGGGTTTAGGATTGGCCTAGGACCAGATGTCTAGGGCTAGGAATTGGCATCGAGGGAGTTCCTCACGGCACCATCAGCACTGCCTCACCCTTTCAGTGCAGGCACAATCAATGCGCAGGCGAAGGGGGGACCCAATACGATAGGACGACCCACCCCCACATGTTCTGCACGAGGGACACTGAGAAAGAGATCCCGAGTCTTAAAGCAACGATCTCGCAGAGAGAGGCTTTGCGGCCCAGAGCGATTAAAGCACGAGCTGCCGAAGACGCATCTTGGTAGACGGTAATAGCAGTACATAGCAATACACAGCTAGAAAAATTCTGGAACTGCGATGCCAGGTTCTACGGGATGCCACGGGTATGATTCCTGGATAGGAGACCCCTGCCCTGGCAAGCCTGGACAGCTTTCTTCCACGGCCCTGGCGCATGTTCAAAGGGATCCGAGGTTGCCAGAGGGCACGCCACAGGGTGCCTGAGGGTCTCGAATCTGAATCCCACAGCTCTGCTTCGAGTGGGATGGTGAGACGCTCTACGAGATTTTGGGGGCTGAAGGCTTCAAGGGTTGCTTCACTCGCGCCGCCGAGCGAACTGGCCCCTGTCGTACTGCCGCTCCAGGAGCTCCGCGTGCTGGGCATTCTGGCGCGCAAAGGCCTCGTAGCGCTGCTTCGAGGCCTCGTAGCTCCGGTTGAAGCTCAGGGGAAGAACCACGAAGAAGGTCGCCATCCCTGCCAGAACGGCACCGGCTAGGTAGGGCGCTAGGTGCTGCAGGCTGCGGTTCGCACCTCGCTTCGGAGCACCATAGCAGTGGGCGTACTTGTTGGCCTTGAGCCGGTAGAGGGTCGGGGCCTCGCCCTCAAAGAGCGTCTTCTGAATGAAGCCGTGGGCTCTCTTCACGGCTTTCCAAGGTGCTTGGACGGCACGCCAGGCTTGCAACTTCGACATTGCCTCAACTTTTTGAGTGAGTCCTTGAGCGGCGCGGCGCAAGTCCACAATTCCACGTTTGACGTGGGTGCATGTCTTAAGACGGTAAAATGCCGACTTTCGCCCAGAGGTATCCTGAGCCCTACACCTAGACCTGGACCCTATCCTCACAATCACCGGGACCCTGCACAAACTTTATGTGGTGAAGCTGGTCCCTTGCAGAGACACCGAAGTCAACAAGCAAAAAAATCTTGCACTTCTTTTGGAGGGAAATTGGGGTCTTGGGGCCGTAGCTTTAGGTTGAGGCATCTGGGCTTCAGGCCCTGCGCATTCATCGGTGCCCTCCAAGCTTCTTCACACACACAGACGGGCCTTCATCTCCCTGCGCGCCGTCTCTAACCTCAGCTGACTTCACATCTGGGCCGGTGCTCGCAGGAGCCGAAACAAATACCAGTATATTACACTCAGAAACTGCCCGCAGTACCCACATTGCCTCTGGAATTGTTAGCCTTGCGCAAGATCAGTGAAGGACCTCGATTTTCGTTGAGGCCTGCTATATCCTTGTGCTAGAGGGCCTGAGCCGGAGGCACAGCCCTAAACCTTGAATGCTAAACCCTGAACCCCTCCCCCTTTTGGGGATGTTGGGGGCTTTTCGACTGGGACACTACTAGGTCGAGACTATCTCAACATCCTTTTCTTGCAACAAGGCCTCACTCACTAGTGCCAAGCATCATCGGAACCCCGAACCCGAAACCCCTCAACACCCGAACGACCTAATGCCCTACAACTCGACGCCCGAGCCCGAAGCCCTCGACTCAACATTTTGGGCCGCGGCACCTGAGACCGCAACCGGACCGCACTTGCCCATCTAAGCCTTTAAGCTTGCACCCAGGTGCCGAGTCTGCAGCTCTTCTTCGTCCCCTGTCCCTGGCCAAGCTTCGGCTTTCAGGACTTCTTCAGGTGCCACACACACATCCAATGCCCCATATTATATTGAAAGTTAGGGCCGATGCCTGGGATGTTGCACAATGCTGCCATTTTTCTGGGACCTTGTGCCAAACACTGATGCCTCTGAACTTGCTGCCAGCGAAGCCCTACACTTTTTCTTGCAGCTGGGACTCAGCCCAACCTAAAATCCTTAACCCCAAATCCCGAACGATAAACTCACGAAATCCCAAACCCAATGCCTTAACGCCCAATAACGCTCGCACCTCTCTTGGGTAGGTGGGTGCAATCGGGATTGTAAACCCGTGATACCCATACCTAACCACTCCCCTCCTTCCTCCCACCGATGCTTCAAGGGGGCCTATCTCGACAAGCTTCTGGATATTTCAGGCTTTTAGGACGAAAGCCACATGACATTGTCAAACAGTTGTTTTCACGCAACTCGCATGTGTGGACGGGCATGTCTGCAGATCAGCTGCCACCCCAAACCCCTATGAACCCAAACCCAAGGGACCGGAGCCCCGGAAAGGCCCTGAAAGCAGCTGGAATTTGGGGCTTCTGAACTTATGGCTTAGGATCTGGGATTAAGGTTCAGGGAACCGGAATCTTTAACCCAAACCCGAAGTCCTGTCGCAACAAGTGGAACCGCCAGAAAGCCCCCCACGCTGGAGCACGAGCGCGGAAGGAACACACGATCAATGGAACAGTGTACAGAATCCTTCCTGCCACTCATCCGTCATTACATCAAACCCAGAACCCCTTTTGAATCCTTCGCCCCCTGTTGGCCTAAGGTTTCACAGCCGTCCATGTGCCCTCATGAGCACTCGTGCAAATGCCCTAAACCCTAAGCCCTAAGCCCTAAACCCTAAACCCTAAAGCCCTAAACCCTAAACCACAAACCACAAACCATAAACTCTTGATCTTCAACCCTCGGCCTCGGGCCCGGAGGCGCGCCTCGAGCCTTAGCAAGCGGCGCGTTTGGGGACTTCGGACGCCGGGTGTAGGGGTTTAGGGTTCAAGGTTTGTAGGGTTTAGGGTTTAGGGTTCAAGGTTTATAGGGTTTAGGGTTTAGGGTTCAAGATTTATAGGGTTAGGGTTTAGGGTTCAAGGTTTATAGGGTTCAGGGTTCAGGGTTTTGCCACCTGCCCAGCCGCCTCACAACCATACTGGGTTTAGGGTTGAGCCTTTTTGGCCGCCCGCCCAGCCCTCACATACACCGCCGAAAAAAAGGGCCTCTGCAAGGTTACTGTTAGTTTCTGTGTCGCGGGTAGGGTTTCTCTCTCTCTCTCTCTCTCTTAGGCTTTGGGATATGAGGTTTCTATACTGAACTTGGCACCCTAGCAGAATTCAAAATCTTGGCTGTAGCGACCAAAAATGGTCATAACGATTTCCAAATACCCCTGAGGTTTGGGGGGGGTTGGCGTCTCACCCTACACCGCGGGACACTTCTTGAGACGGGCCCGAGGAGCGTTGCCAGGCCGCCTTCCGGGAGAACCTCTCTGGGCCATGCCGGGGGCTCTGAGGTTCTTTCTTGGGAAGGTTTTTTTTCCCTCTGATACTACCAGTCCTTCAGAGGGATCATAGTACTCCCCCCCCTCTTATGATCCCTACAAAGGACTGCTACAAGAAGGGTGGAACATCCCCAAGTTGCTTCTGTTGTGGGATTTTGGGGTGCGAGGTTTGCGACGCGGGGTCTGGGTCTTTTGGGGCATGCCGCGCACGAGAACCACAAAAAAAAGCAAGTAAACAGCGGCCTCAACAGAAAGCACACCTCCCGCACAGGGACCGCTCTGGATGCTGGATAAGGCGCCTCTTGCAAAAAGACCAACATCCCTTAGCCTTCAATGCCTACCCAATCCTGACACGCACAAGAGCTCGGGTCGCCTCTACAAAGTGGGCCGGGTTCTCCTGCACAAACGAAGTCTCAGCTAACTGCACGAAAAAAACTGCCGAAACAAATGCTTCATGAACATCATGTCTGGCAGATCCCTTCCGCGTCCTTGTCTTGCAAATACCTATGCAGGCTTTGCACGCCCGCTATGTCAATGTCCAGGACACAATTGTGGCCATGATCGCATATGTCCTCTCACAGTCACATGGAACTGACCACACCTCGCCAGCATGCAAACCTTGCTTCGATGTGCACGCACAGTTTTGATGCCTTTTTGGCACTTGGCCTGGCAACAAAGCAAAAAAAAGTCCTGGATGGCTGCAAAAGACGTGCCGTACAAGTTGCCGTGCACTTCGGCATGCTCAAGAAACAAGCCTGACCGGGGATAACACAAACTTGTTGCTTGTTGACGTTCAGCTGCTCATTTCAAACTGCAAACATGAAAAACATGGCATCCGCGCCTTCTGCGATCATATCTTGCATATGCGCACGGCTCACGAAGTGATAATCCACTCCGTCCTTTGCAGCTTGGTTCACTCCCTGTCAAACATGACGAATCCTATTGCAAACAGGTTAAGCCCGAGTATCAGTTTCGGAGTCTCGTGGTGAGCGAGTTGTGTGAGAGACCACCAAGCCAAACTGGCTGCCCAAAGTCTTGTGGTCTTGGTTGTCCCGGCACACCAAATTCACCAAACACTGCACATCCTTACAACGGCCTGACTGCAGCCGCGCAGCCCAATAGCTGTTTGACTAGGGTGCTTTTGCCGACACCTGATGGTCCACATAGAACAAGAAGTCCTCCTGGCAACACAGAACACATCCCCAACAGCCTATCTGCGTGTGCATGATGGTGCTTTGTACACAGCCATTCCGTCTTTCACGCCGTGCGTGCCAATAAAGTATCAAAGAGCCTGTTACATCCGGTTCGGCAACCGCAGCTGCCAGACGCACCGTCAACCCACGGGGGACCTGTGAAGAAACTGCGCAAAGATTGACGTGTCGGAGCCATGGAACAATGCTAAGGCGACCACGTGCGCCCGTTTGCACTCCCGTTTGCGGCCGGAGCGAACTGCTCGGCCGAGCACTGCAGGCGCCACCATTACGAAACACCTTCACCACAAACACTGACATCTGACATCACCTGTGGTTGGTAGCAAATGATATGCCACTGGCCTGCAAGCAAGCCTCGTCGATGAAGGTTGATGGGCACAAAGCGGGCGTAGATCACAAGCATGTTGTGAAACACCTGGGTGGATACATGTGCATTGCAAGTGTCATGAAACTTTGGCAACGTTTTTTCATCCCCCGTTGTTTTCAAGCAAGATGATATGCCACCACGGCACCAGCTTCTCGTTTCTCTTGTAAGTAGCATTGTGATCGTGGCATTGTGTTGTTGCGCAGTTTTTTGTTTTTTTGCCGCATCGGTTTTTTCGTCGCTCGGCAGGAACGGACACGAAGATATCCCGGGAGCAAGGCTGCACGTGGGAAAGATGTGCGACCTGGCCTGGCTTTCGTGATTTTTTCCCCCGCCCGATCGACTCGGCCCTGAGGGTCGGCTGTCTTGCGCGTGTCGTCGCAGCAGAGTGCCCCTCAAACTGCTGGGTTCTCATGATTCCACTTTGAGCTCTGGTCAAGGGCTGAACTGCAAGTGCCTGCATCCATGAGGGCATGCGCGCATGACACTCACATGCTCCATGCCTTCTACTGTCCCTACAACTGATCGTTGCCTTTGTCCAACGCTGCTACTCGAAATCCTTTTGACCCACGAAGGGAATGCAAATGCTCGTAGTGTTGGGCGGAGAGCTTGGAACGTACCAGGCCAATGTTGGGGACGACGATCCAGCACTCGCATCACTAAGGCTTGCACACTGAGGCCTTTTTCGCATCGAGAAAAGACCGTGCTTTGGATGTCAGTAAACCGTCCTGTATGAGTTTTTCGTGGCCCTGCGCAAGCGCCTGTGGATCACGACCAGTCCGAAGAAGTAGCCAGTTGGCAGTGACAGCGATGCGGCGCTCAAACAGATGCAGGCAGAAGCGTTTGCGTAAGGGCAACACAACGCACCATCCCCGCGGAGGCCTTTGCGAAGATAGTTTTCCTTCGAAGGTTCCCCTTGCAGGAGTAGGCCAAACAAAGCAACGCGCATCGTCCCAGCCATGAAGTTGGAGCTTGGAGGAACATGGTCGGAACAAGCAGGACAACCGCGCCCGATCGTCTCCAACCTCGCGTGGCCGCTCCCGGAAAAGCGCTGGCGACAAGCCCACACAGTGCATGAAGGTGACCTCCAATGTGGAGACCGCGCATGTGCTGCAAGCATTCCAAAAGGCTTTGGCGTTTCTCTGCAAATGCCCCCGAAGCCAAACAATTTAGGTGAGTGTAAAGATTAGAATGACTTCGATACCGGGTGCCGAGTACTCGAAAAAAGCAACAAGAATTGAAAACCTTAAAGCCCTGCAACCCTTGAAAACCCCTGAACACTAAACCCTATATAGAAACCCGAAACCCCGAACCCCAAACCCCCAAACCCAACATTCCCTACCCAAAAGTCCATCAAGCCTCAAAGCCCACAACCCCCAAACCTAAACCCGACAACCCCTAAGCCCTAAAACCCTAAACCTAAACCTACGGCTGTCAGTAGGGAAACAAGGATTTCGGCGCCCTGGTCTGTACGGCCATCCTAGAGGGCCACATGGGGACCCAAAACCCCATCAACCCTCCAAACCTTCTAAACCCTCTAAACCCTCTGAACCCTCTGAACCCTCTGAACCCTCTGAACCCTCTCCAAACCCTTCAAAAACCCTCGAAAAAAACCCTCTGACTGAGCCGAAGCCAAAGAACTGCCGGTGACCCTTCCCGAAAGGATGGGTCCGCCCCGCGATGGCGCCAGAAAGCTTTCCATGGGTTCTCTAAGTTCGAAGCTTAAAGGGTTAAGGTTGGGATGTTCCCCCTGGTAGTAACAGTCCTGAATATTATTTATATTTCCCAATGCCGATTAAGGACTGTTAGTATAGGGGGGAACATCCCAGGGTTAAAGGGTTGTGGGGTTGCGGGGTTGGGTGTTCTAGGCTTGCAGGGTTGCGGGGTCAGGGGTGAGGCAGGGAAGCCGCGGCGTCTATCAGATCAAACGGGGCTCTGTTGGAATCTTAGAAGCCTTAAGCTCTTGTATGGCTTGCAGAGGTTTGTTGAGAAGATTTGCGGGGGCATATAGGGTTCAGGGTGTTTAGGCTGGAAGCAACTGGCAGTGTTGTTGCATTCTCAAGCTTTGATCCGAAGGGACAGATAGGGCGGGATGTATCCTTCCACCGAAGTGTTAAGCTTTGGCATTCTGGGTTCGGAAAAATTTGAGCCCCCAATTCTCACTCTTCAGAATTCAACCCTAGACCCTAACCACCTGATCGGCTTCTCAACTCATGAGACCTCACAGCACTCCGAATACAAACCCAGTTTCTATGCCTGAGCTAAAAAAGAGCAGAGAAAAAACAGGCGCCAGAGTTCAGGGAGACACAACCAACCTTTGCATCATGAGCAATGCCGAGGAGAAAGCAGAACGAACAGCCAGACACCCCAAAACACCGAAAAATTGTCACAACAAAGCGAAAACAGGCTCGCCTCCCTGAATTCAGAGATCCGCTGGAGGTTTCGGGGTGTTTGGGTTTAGGGTCTACGGGTTTCGGGCAGGGGGTTTTGGTGGGATGCTGCCAAGGAAAACCGGACGTCCCACCAACGGAACTTTGTCACCAGCTCTACAAGTCCCCTGGACCGTGCCGATTTTACCGATAACCTTATAAGGCTTGTAAATCCATTCATCCACCAAAAATAGCTTCACGGGCGTAGCCTGAGCAGCAAGAGGCAACAAAACGATGCATGCAAATGAGATCAATAACTCCTCCGAATCATAGTTCATCAGACTTCCGGCGAAGTGCAAGACAGGCTGTTTTGGCCCCTGTCACGACATGTCTGCTTCTTCGCCAAGCTTCACGCAGATACCTCGTGGGCCACGCAATGCTCGTGCATTCAGGCCCGCTCACGAGGAGGCGCACAATCAGATTCACATCAAGCCGCGCTGGCTTGAGGCATCCTGCTTGAATTCGGTTCAAGCGGCTACAGGCCAACCTGCATTGAAATAGCGGGGAGATGAGCAAACCCATGCCCGAACCCCGACGTGCTGATGAATCGCTCTGGATTCGCACTTTGCTTCCTTCGGGGTGGCGGCCCTCAGCGTTCGATGAAGATGCCTCTGGCGTGTCTCCTCTGACGTTTCTGCAAGCAGAATTTGCAGGGTTTGCTTTGCCTTCATGCACTTCTCGATGTGTGGGTTTTTTGGCTGAAGGCTTAGGGCTTGGGGTCCTGTCTGTAAACACCCGGAGTGCTGCGAAGCAGCCGCAGTCCTGGTGGGGCAGATCACTGGCTGAGTCCATGTTTCTGGGCCGTGTCAAACTGGATGTGAAAGATCTTGCACGTGCTGAGCCCTGCACGTTCGCTTGGACTTTCTTGGATTCCTGAAGAGCCTCAGTGACCAAGTAGGTGATGGAGAGGGGGCGAAGCAAAATGGAAGTAAAGTAAGTCAACATGTCAACGAAACATTCGTGCAGATAGAGCTTCAAGCTCTGCACAAAATTCGATCTTCACCGATCCCGAAAAACAAGGAGTGCAGTGCGCTCTGGGGCCTGGGTTTGTTGATGTAGTATTTGCCGGAATGCGTAGCAGAAGGGTCCCATTAAATGAGATTGGGGTAGAAAAAATTACCGTGAGGGGCGGAAGAGGTGACCAACATCGTTGCCAAAACATTTGTAAATCGCTCGCAAGCATGCGCAAAACGCTCGCCACGTTGGCCAAGAGTTCGCCAAGAGTTCGCCTATCATTCACCAGGCCTTCGCCAGGCGTTCGCCAGGCGTTCGCCAAGCGTTCGCCAAGCGTGCACCAAGTGTTCGAAAAGCATCCGCGGAGCGTGAACAAAGGGTTTATCAAGCGTTTTTCAAAGCATTCGCGACTGCGTTTTTTGGCATCCCTTCGAAAGCCTGAAACTTCTGAATCATCAGTAGAGCCATGAACTTAACAGACACAAGGATTGGCCCCTGGGCGTACCAAGCGTCACAGGGATAAAGGCCCAGGACGTCGCGATCCTCGTAACTGTCGCCGCTTGTTGAACCGTCCCATTCTTGTCGTGTCTCAAGTGCCAACAGTCACAGGAATGGTGCCTCTTGCATGTGTTGGAGCCTGTCCGAGACGGCGTGAGTAAAAACGTCAGATCTGTGTCTGAAGTTGGGGCTTGGGTTGAGGTGCTAGAAAGTAAGCACTTTTCTTCATAAAGTTACGCATGGCCCCAAGACGTGCGCTTAGGTTTGGGGCGCCCAGTGGTCTAAAATATCTTCAGAAACAAATGTGCCTTTGAAGATCATGTGCAGGAGGGGACGGGAGTGGGAGGGGGAGGGAGGCCCAAGTCCCACATGCACCCCCCCCTAACAAGCAAGGCCTTACTCACAAGCAATCCCATGCGACAGTTTACCAGACATATACCGCCAACGAGAATAACAGCACAAGCGAAAAGAGGGGCAACACCCAGCTCGAGGCCCCCAAGGTGCCGGCCGGCTCTCTTGGCAAGAGAAGCTCCTGACTGTCTGGTTGCACCCAATCCCCCCTGACCGCCTCCCTCGTGGTGTGGTTGTGGCTTGGTCTGGGTATTTAGGGTTGAACAAGCTTATATGGCATACAGGGCTAATCAGGGTGTAGAGGATTCAGGGCTGTTAGGGTTTTCTGCTTAAATGTCCTGGGTCGGGATTTATGGCTTTGGGGTTTTAGGCTAAAGTTTTAGGAATTAGGGTGGCTTGGGAATCCGGCGAGACCTTGGGTGGTCGGCACCACCCACCCCCACTCACCCCCCGCTCACCCCCAACTCCCCCGCCCAACCTCCCCTCTCTATGCCATGGCACCGGTTGGCACGCGCAACCGTGCATAGTCTCGGGGTTGAACGCGTGCCAGTTGCACGTACAAACCGCATTAAGGATTGCGGATTTAGGGGGGGGTGCCAGCGTTAAAACTATGGGCATGTAAGGCTTTGGGGGGGACAGCGCACAACAATGAATTGACGCCTCCTCGTCGTCCAGAAGGGGTGAGACCTTTCACCCGGCTCAGGCTTCTACTAGGGGTAGCTTTATCTGACGCCATGAAGTTGCGCTACTGCAGGCACGTGGGAAAGCGTGAAGTTCACGACACTGGCGTGAAGTTGCACCCTTAGCAGCCTTAGCATACAGTCGCGAGGCGAGTTCACGAATGTGGCTCCGTAAACCATCATCGCCCCTCCGCTTCGCTGGCAAAGCGCTCCGTGAAGATGCACACAAACGAAGTGCGACACAGAAGAGAGGACAAAGGATCCAAAAAGAGAAATTACCGCACCCTAGAGGCCTCGAGGGCCTCGAGGCCCCAGCACCATCAGCGCAAGCAAACAGACCAAAAGATGGCCTGGGGTGACTCGGGTGGAGGGGCGAGACCAAGCAAATCGCCCCGGAACACACTGCCCGGACAACAGTTTGGGGAGGGAGGCGAAGGAGCCATTTGTTTACAGCTGGGGAGGGGGCAGATCTAGCACAAACCCAAGTTTTCGCGCCGAAAAAGATGGCCGGAGCACTTCAAGCTTAAATCCAGCACAAGTCCAGGGTTTCGAGCCGAGAAATGGGACTTGTGGCATTTTGGCCATGTTTCTGTGTCTACGAGTGTTTCGGCCTCCCAAGGCCCCAGCACCATCAGGCCAAGGCAACCCACCAAATGTATGTATGTGTATGCATGTGCATGTGTATATATATATATATGTATAGTACCCCCCCCCCAGTTATCCACACCTTTTCTGCTTGTTTTGTGTTTTTCTTGTCCTGGCACTGCGTATTTCTGCTTTTCGTTCGTGATTTGTTTTCTTTGTCCCAGCGTGTTGATTTATGTTTTCTTTCTTTCTTTATATCTGGTTGCTTATCTTTTGTTTATATTGCACCAGTAGAGACCGGTACAAACCGGTACAAATCGGTACAAGTTGTACCGGCCCCGGGCCCTGGAACCAAGAACCAAGAACCAAGATTGCAGGGCAAGACCTCCCTGCAATCTTGGTTCTTGGTTCTTGGTTCCAGGGGTGGGGCCGGTACAACTTGTACCGTTTTGTAACGTTTTGTACCGGCCCGTGTGTCTCGACAAATTTAAGGATTTCAAGGGCTTTAGAAAATTCAAATGGGCTGGGCCTTTTCCCAAAACAACTATTTTGTTTCAAAATTTCAATTATTTAAGGAATTTGCTGATTTTAAAAAGTTCAAACGGGCCGGGCCTTTCCCAAACTAATTTAACTTTTTTTCATGTTTTTACGGAGTTTAACGTATTTAAGTGGCCTTTTACATCCCTTAAAACCCTTAAAATTTTGAAAGCCAGAGGCCTTTCAAAACCTTAAGAGCTTGAGGGTTTTAAAGAATTGGAGGGTCCTTTTAAATTCCTTAAAATCCTTAAAACTTTGAAAGGGGAAATGGAACCATCAAATAGTAGGTAAAGGTGAGTCGTACACAGGGCTATAAGGTTCTAATCCTATAGGTAATGCCTCCACCTTAAACCTTTGAACCCTCTAGGCCTGTAGGTTTAAACCCTATAGGGCTAACACCGTGAGGGCTTTAGAGATAAACCTTGAAAAATCCTGAACCGTTAAACTGTATGGATTTAAATGCCTAAACCGTAAGCCCTTATGGTTTAAACTCCATGGGCTTATAAACCTTGAAGACCCCTAAACCTTTCAACCCGATACCTGCTTATTCTTTGCATTTCCACCAAGCCCTAAAAACAGAGGCATAACCATATGGGATTTTAGATTTAGGGATTTACGCCTCAAGCCTTATAGGGTTTTTCAGGCTCTAGTCCTATAGGCAATGCCTTAAAGGCCTAGAGGGTTCAAACCCTATAGGGCTAACCCCGTGAGGGCTTTAGAGATAAACCTTGAAAAACCCTAAACCTTTAGACTCTATGGGGTTCAAAGGCTTGAAAACCTAAGGTCTGGGCATGTATACCTTCATCGCCTATGGGGTTAAACCTTTTGAGGCTTTTAGAGCCCCATAGGCTTTCAGGGTCTTGACCCTAAAGGGTTCAGGTTTAGATGCCTAAATCGTAAACCCTTAAGGTTTGAACTCTATGGGCTTAGGTTTACATACCTGGGTCTTCAACCTTCAAACCTATTAACCCTATAGGATTTAAAGGTTAAGGGTTTAGGTGTAATTGCTTAACCTTGAAGCCCTATGGATCTAAAGGTTCAGGTTTCAGGTTTAACCCTAAACCCGATCGGCTTTAAGCCTTAAACCCTATAGGGTTTCGGGGCGTCTCTTTTTATAAGACTTAAACCTTAACCATAGGGTTTTAGAGATAAGCCCTGAAAGGAAAAGCATTTCCAAAAACCAGGGAGCGCAGCGGAGCGGAAGGGAGGGGAGGAGGTCGCTGTGCCCAGTGTTTGGACAGATGGAGAGGAATCAACATCTCAAGGATTGCATACATTTACGTTATGTCGCGGATTGGGTCATTGGGAGGGGGGGGAGTTCAGGGGTCACCGCGACCACAAAAAGCGTGGATAAACACAAAAAAGCGTGGATAACCTGGGGGGGAATATATATATACAAAAAAAAATATATATATATATATATACATATATATATGTGTATATATATATAACTATGCGTATCGAATCTACGGGAACTTGCGATGCCCTGCACCGCGACCTAATGGCTTTCGGGCTTCCGGAACTGGGGCCTTACGGTTTGGGGCTTGCGAAATAATCACGCAGTGTAAGGGCCCATGTGGGATTCGAGGATTTGAAGCGAAGTGTAAGGGCCCGGCCACAGGAAGCCCATCAGAGGCTGTGCCCTGCGGCTGCGCTGGGACTTGATGGTTTTGGGGCGTGAGTTTTTTTGCATCTGGTTAGGATGCTTCGAAACCCAGAGTTTCAGGCTCCGGCCATGCCACGTGGGACCCCATCGCTCCCCTGCAGTGGGCTTTGAGGGCTTTCGAGGGCTTATGGTTTGGGGCTTGGGATTTGAAAGCGAAGTGCAAGGGCCCAGCTGCCACTGGAAGCCCATCACAGGCTGTGACCTGCGGCTGCGCTGGGACTTGATGGGTTTGGGATGCTTCGAAACCCAGAGTTTCAGGCTCCGGCCATGCCGCGCGGGACCCCATCGCTCCCCTGCAGTGGGCTTTGAGGGCTTTCGAGGGCTTATGGTTTGGGGCTTGGGATTTGAAAGCGAAGTGCAAGGGCCCAGCTGCCACTGGAAGCCCATCACAGGCTGTGACCTGCGGCTGCGCTGGGACTTGATGGGTTTGGGATGCTTCGAAACCCAGAGTTTCAGGCTCCGGCCATGCCGCGCGGGACCCCATCGCTCCCCTGCAGTGGGCTTTGAGGGCTTTCGAGGGCTTATGGTTTGGGGCTTGGGATTTGAAAGCGAAGTGCAAGGGCCCAGCTGCCACTGGAAGCCCATCACAGGCTGTGACCTGCGGCTGCGCTGGGACTTGATGGGTTTGGGATGCTTCGAAACCCAGAGTTTCAGGCTCCGGCCGTGCCACGCGGGACCCCCTCGCAAGTGTTTGGGGCTTGGGATTTTGAAAGCGAAGTGCAAGGGCCCAGCTGTCACTGGCGGCCCATCACAAGCTGTGCCCTGCGGCTGCGGTGGGATCTGATGACTTTCAGGGCCTACGGCTTGGGGCTGGGGACTTGATGGCGAAGTGTATACAAGGGCCCGGCTGTCACCGACGGCCCATCAGAGCCCTGCAGCGACAGCGCTGGCGCTGGGGCGGCTGTAGATTCCTTCTCAAGGCAAGCACTGCAAACGAATTATAGCATGATGCTCATCGAAAGCTCGAGATACTGCGACTACAACTGCGTAACAACACTCTCCACAGCTTGCACAGACACTGCAGGTTGAGCAGCTCGGTGCTCCAAAGACCGACATGTTGAGCAATGGCACAGCTCAGAAACCCAAAGCACTGAAAAAAAATCTAACAAGTTTAGCAATGCTGCCCTAAGCACCTGGAGCAGCTCGGAAGGTTTTGCCAATACAGCTCAATGAAAAGCCGACCTCTTCTTCCGCGTCTTCCAATGGTGGAGACCTGTGGGGTCCAACGCGCAGGCGGTGACATGGGCCTTTTCGATCTTAAGGCTCAGGCAGAGGGCGGCGCAGCTGCACAGGAACGTCAATGGCCTCAACTGATGGGGCTTAAGACAAAAAAAAGGTTTAGACTTCAGAGCTTGACTTTTTTCGCCGTCGTAGTGCACATTTTGGCGGCTCAGCGGCTGTTTTCTCGTTTTGTCTCGGTATTGCACTGTTTTGTGGGTGCCTTGAAGGGTTTTGGGGTAAGGGTTTCGGGTTTCGGCTGAAAACCCAAACCCGAAAGCCCAAAGCCAAAACCCTGAATTGTTTTCGCTAAATCCTAAACCCGGGAGCCAAAAATAAGTACTGCAACTTTATTCCAAGCGTCTCATGGAAACGCAAGGCTCTCATAGGAAATCCAGCCCTCAGACGAAATCCAAACCCCTCATTCCGCCTGGTAAAACGATGGTGGCGTGCCGAAGCCGCCGCACGCCGACAGGCCCTGCATTGGAGTAATTTGATGTAATTTGCAGGCTCGGGAAATTGCACCACAGACCACAGATGCAGCCAGCCTCCAGCGCCATCAGAGGACCCTAAACACGGCGATTAACCCTCAACCCTCCCTACAACCCGGAAACCCTGCACCTACACACTACACCCCGAAACACTGAAATTATCCAATTTCAGAACTCAACCCCAACTGTCGGTCTAGGGTTTAGGGCTGAGGACTGAGGGTTGAGGGTTTAGGGTTGAGGATTTGGCAAGGATTGTCGAGAAGTTCCCGCCGAATGAGATAGTCGCCATACTTCAAGACTTACAATATCCCGTTCGTGACTTGGACCCTCCGTGAGCCAAAGGCGCTGTTGTATGTGCAGAACATCCAGACCCGATGGTTTGCATAAGAAACACCAGTCCGCATAAACTTCCACAAAACCGGTGCAGCGACGCTTCGGCAGCTGAACACACAACAGTTCCGGCAACGCCACATTGGGCTTCCAATTTCAGACTGTCTTTCATTAAATGCCTTTTTTCAAATTCGATCAAGTTCGGCATGTTTTTCTCTCTCTCAGCATTTTTGTGCTGGCAGACTTTCTGTCCTTGGAACCTATGCCCCATCCGCGGCTAGCCATTTCCGGCGCCGTGACAGGAAACTTCCCACAGGGCGCGTTTTGATTTGCATGGCGAAAACACAGAATTCCGAAAGCACAGGACGCCTAATGGATTAGTAATGGATTTGTAAGGTGTTGAGGTTAGGATCGCATGGGGTCGAAGCAGTTCTTCCGTTGATTGGACCAAGGGACGCTGAACTGTTGTTCCCGAAGCGTTTTCCCGTAAACCCAACCTCAGTTACCCCTGAAACTTAACCCAGGAACATTCGTCGACTCGGTGACCCCAAAACGATCTAAAACCGCAACTCCGCTTGCCGCGTTTAACACTCAGCTACTTCTCTTGTTGAGGCTTCAGGGTAATGGGGTGTTGCAATTGTTGATAAAGGTTACGGTTTTGCTTAGGTTCGTCCTATTTGACACACAAGGAAACCAAATCATACAAATGCGGAGTGCGCAAACTCAAAAGCTCCTGCACGCAACACAAATTGTGTTTTTCCACACGCCTTTTTTCTGTCCGCCGCACAGTCATGACTCCAGGCCGCTGTTTGGCCACTACGGCGGCGCCGCGAGGAGCTCTCCCAGTGGCGGCTCGCCGCCGTCACCGGCATCGCAGGGGCGCACCGGCAACTCCAGCAAGCTCTGCGACGCGAGGGCTGTCCTTTTGAACAACACAATTTCTGAGGTCTCAATGGGCCCTTGGAGTCTCCGGCCCACAGGGTCCTCGTCGCGAACGCGCAAATTCCCTAGACGATCTCCAAGGCTTGCGAAGTTTGGCCCGGACAGTGAACTGAGACCAAGTCTGACGGTCAGTGTTGACGGTGTCGGGGCCTACGATCACGTGGCCAAGGCGGGGATGTGGCGGCGCACTCCGAACTCGGGCCACGGGCAGACTTGCATGAACTTACATGCATTCTTGGATGATACGTATGCGTCGTGTGTGCCACGTTTGTTAGCAGCGTATTGGGCATCTTGGGCGGACACCTTGCCAACTTCGGACGGGATGAAGCGAGCCGCCGCGGTTGCTGGCCTGTCGGGCTGTTGCGGAGGCGCCCTTGATGCCTTGGGCGACCACCGCGTAGCGAGCCCAACTGCCGGTGTTCTCGGAATACGCACGGCAGTGGTGGATGTGTTGGAGAAAGCATTTTTTTCACGCTCCTTGGGCGCCTAGCCGAAGGCAGTGGTGCCAACGTGTGAGTGGGCGACGCGTGAAGCTGCCAGCCGTGTGCCAAGTTATTTTTTTCGGCCCTTTGCCCGCAGGATTCCCGCAGGCGAATCGCTGTGCGGCTATGTACAAGGCCACTCGTCGAGACGCCGCTTGGAAAAGGGGCGCAGTGGCTGCGCCGGTGCAAACGGCTGCCCAGTCCGGAGTTTCGCAGCCGAGCGCTCGCAGGTGCGTCTGCGCGAGGACGGCGGCAGCGGCACAGGGGAGGACTCGGTCGCCTGGGACCTGGAGGCTGGAGGGCGCCTAGCAATCGGGCAGACGCAGCGGGGGCCCGGGCATGGATGACGGGCAAGGTGTCGCACCACGCGGCCCAATGCGCGGCGAAGCGATCGGAGGTGGCAGAGCGGAGGCCAAGACCGCCAAACCGCTGCGCGAGCCGGGCGGTGCTCAGGCTGTGAGGTGGCAGGGGGGCGTCCCCGTGCTCAAGGAGCGTTGCCAGGCAGCGGGCGACTGCTGCATCATGCGCTTCTGCATACGTGGCCGTGAGGTGGGGGGGCAAAATGCGCAGCAGATAGTTTGCGCGCGGCGCGGCACAGGACTGGAGCAAAAGCCAGGCAGCCTGCAAATCGTCCAGGTTGGGCAGGCGCTGGAGGAGCCGGTCGTGGTCCTCGCGTTTCTGCTCGAGGTGCCTCCGAGCCAACCCAGACGGGCGCCGCCCCATCGCCGCCGCTGAGGTCTGCGATGCCGCCGGGCTCCTCACCAGCGGCGTTCCAGATGCGCGTTTTGCCCTCATGGAGTCGGATCCGCGCGTGGTGCCACAGGGCGGCTGCAAGGGCGTCGTACAGCGCGCGGACGCGCTCGGGGGCCGCGACTAGGTAGACGTCGTCAAGGAACGCGAAGATGGCCTCGCCATCGAGGAGCTGGCCCTGAAGGTCGGCAAGCGCAGGATGTTGTGCCAGGGAATAAAACGCAGGTATCAACGGATCGCCCTGCTCGCCGCCCTCGGCCTGAGAAACGTCGTGCGCGCAGCCATCATCGTCGTACCAGGTGTAGACGCTGGGCGTGGCATAGAATTGCCGCGCGTAGGGCAGCAATGGCTGCAGCTCCGGCTGAGCAAGCAGGGCTCCGAGGATGGACCCCCGCGAGACATGGTCAAAGGCGCCGACGGCGTCAACTGACAGGACGGTGGCACGCGGGCGTGCCTCCGTGGCAGCACGAAGCAGTCGGCTGACCGCCTCTGTGCCAGCACGCGTGCTCAGGCCATATTGATGGGGCATGCATGCCTGCTGGAAGTGGCGCGAGCACGCGGCCGACGAGACGCCGCAGCACGTCCCCGACTGCGAGTGCACGGACCCGGCCGTTCGGCTTGCGAAGTGCGACGAGCCGCGCAACACGGATGCCGTCAAGCACAGCAGGGGGGATTTCCGCATTGGCTAGCCGGAGGGCGGCGCCATGCAGCAAGCGAGCATCCTCTTCGTCGTCGAGCAGGACGCGGATGTGTTCCGTGGTGGCACCGGATGGGCCGGCCGCAGAGCCCCGACGTGCACGCCGCAGACTGTCGAGAAAAGCCTGCTGGGGAGGGGGCATGCTTGATCAGGCGCGTGCCGGAGCGCGGCTGGCGGCGCGGGCACGTAAGGCTCCTGCGGTCGCCGCTGCGGGTCGCGAAGCTCGGCAAGGGTGTCAGGACCGCCTGTGGCTAGCGGTTCTGCTGTCAAGGCTCGTCCGGCGGCGGACAGCTCGCCAAGGTGGACAAGGGCTCGGCGCGCCCGCGCGGCCTCGCCAGCGGGGTCTGGCCGAGAGCTCGACGTTGTGGCAACAGCGGCGGCAGCCTCCCGCAACAGGTCAGCCCACCGACCTGTGCGGAAGAAGTCGCAGCGCCGTTCCAACTCTGCAGTAGGAACTTGGGTTTCGCCCGGCGAGCGGTAGAGCAGCATCCGGGGCACGAGGCAGAACAGCTTCCCGCCACGCACCTCATCATCATGGCAGGACGGATGCACCGCAAGCCGGAGCCCGGTTCGCAGGGCAGTGCGCAAGCTCCCGCGGATGCGCGCGGGAGCAGTCTGCAGCGTGAGAACGCGCTGGCGGCAAGTGGCCTGCAGGTCAACGGCATCAAGGGCTGCGAGACCCAGCCCCAGACCAGCTTCGGCAGCTGCAGTGGCTTGCACACGGCGTGCGCCGGTCGAGGCCGCAGGATGACCTGACGCGGCCTCTGGGGGGCTAGGATCCGCATCAGGAGCGGGTGGGGCAGCGGAAGTATGGCGTCCGCGCCCACGCCCACGCCGCCCAGTGCCTCGGCCGGCCCCGGCAGCGCGTGCTCGCTGCGCGACGGCCGCAAGAAGCTCGTCGTCGCTAGCGACCGTCGGTGCCCGCAGGTTGTTCGGGTCATCCTCAGTGTGGGCGCGGGAGTCGTGGCTTTCCGGGCGCTCTGCAGGCGGAGGGTTGGTGGAGGCGCGGCCAAGGCATGCGGCTCAGGTGGGGGTGCCCGACGGAAGGCATCAGAGGCGCGGTCAAGGTTTGCTGCGAAAGCGCGGCCGCCGAAGAGCTCGAGGCAGGCCTCTTGGCAGGGCGCGGTGATGTATCCGTCATTATGCTGTGCCAGGCGGCGCACGACCCAGCCGATGTGCACAGACGCGGCGGGCGGAAGAGCGGCCGCCTCCTGGAGGAGACGTTCCGGCGGCGGTTCGTTTGCCGCGTTGGTGGCCGTGAGAAGGGCTTCCGTGAGGGTGGCAGCTTGGACCGGGTGGGACGCAGCGAGCGTCCGGCGCGCGTCCTCCCACCAGGCTGCCCGCGGGTCAGATCGCCAACGTTCCAGCACGTCCGGGCATCTCACCCGCCGCGGCATGGAGCAGGGGCATATACAGCCATGAGTTAGTAGCGAGGTTGCTGCAGTCCCGGGGTGGGCCGAAAGCGGGCCACGCAGCGGGGAGGAGGGCTGGCGAGCCATGTCCGGCGAGAGGCTGGGGCGCGGCGGGGTGAGCCAGGGTTGGGACGGCGGCTGGAACAGGGCGGCCAGCGCACCCAACAGTGCAGCTCCAACTCGCACACCCGGCAGGGGTTTCCAGCCTCGGCCGGGATGGACAGGGTCTCCAAGCCAACGTCTTGCGCACAGCCCGGGCACAGCCAGCCGGGGCGCCATACAGCTATGCCGGCGCCATGCCGGATGGGGACGGGCGCCCACTGCATCTCGCGGTCCGGAAGGTGCACGAAGTCGACACCGGCCGCGCCGCCAACGGCAGCGACCCGGTGGCAGCACAAAAGGGTCACACCCGGCGGCGGTCGAGGTTCAGGTGCATCGTTGGAGGTGAACGTGCGGAGTGCGTAGTCTGGGACAGCCTCGCGCACCGTGGACTCGCCGGCAATGCGCTCAGGCATGTGCACGCCATGGTGCAGGCAAAGCGTGCGCAAAGCGGCGTCATCTGTCACCGACCAACTTGTGAGAGTGCAGTCGGGGCAGCGGCTATGGTGGCACAGCGGACACAAGAGGTCGTCGAGACAGGCAGCTTGCGCACGATACTGCGCCAGGCAGCCCAGGTGCATGCGGTGCCGGCGGCAGGTGGGGAACGGGACGGGAAGCTGGTCCGCCGGAGCTGCCGACTGCAGGCGCTCCAGACAAACGCAGCAGCATTCATCCTCAGCGCTAGCCGGGTTGGGTAGCGTCCGGTCCCCGTCCTGGAGCGGGTGCTCTCGTGACGAAACCGAACTGACCGAGAGCGGGGACTGCGGAGACTGCGGGGCACGCGCTGTCGGAACCACGCGGCATGACACCGGACAGCACCAGAGAGCATGGCCATGACTCCTCTCGCACCGCCATCGCCATTTCAACTAGAAGCGCCAAGTCCAACTTCCCCTTTCCAGGAGCTGGTGCTGCACCCATCCCGCGTGTTCAAGCAAGCCCTACTGGCATCAATGCTGTTCCATTGCCTCCACCTGTTGTGTTGAAGCGCCCTGCTCCGGAAAGCAGCGAGCCTGCAACATCCATCGAAGCTGCACCCAACGTGCAGCGTGTGGGAGCAATGAGTGATGCATTGTCTGAAATCCCAGGATTGGGCACGTAGTGGTCAATGGGAGCAGAAAATCTCATCAGTCTTAGACTTGCTGGACACTCAGTTGGATCCGCGCGAACCGGGAAAAAGCCAGGGATGTGCAGATGGCGACCCTTGTGGAAAAGCAGTTTGCAACACCGAAACTCAAATCCGCATTTTTTTTTCTCCCCCGGACTTTTGCGCCAGCATGCTGGTTCATCTGGAGTCTGCTTCCCTAGGCCTAGGCAGCAGCCACGGGAGCTCACGGCGCCGGCAGGCGGCTCGGCGGCACCGGCAGGCGGCTCGGCGGCACGTTCTCTGCGCCCCTCGCGTCCGCCAGGAGGTCGCCCAACGGCGGCTCCGCTCCGTCACATTCGTCAGCTCCTGCATGCTCCTGCCATCGGGGAGCAGCCCAAGGCTCGCTGCGCGGCGACGGCGATGAGGCCGGTCCAGCGATGAAAGTAGCCGCGCGGCGGCGCGCAGCTGCGCCGGCGCTTCGCGGGCTGTGGCCTTCGCCAATCCATGGAGGAATCCGACGGCCTCGGCGCCGAACCTGCCGCCCACCTCCAGCCCGATGACGACCAGTTTGCATCGCCGCGCACTTGCGAGTGAAGTCACCCCCCGCTTCCGCGCGGCAGCCTCCCCCGCCGCCGTCCCCGGCGTTCTGTGAGCGGCACCTCGGACCCCCCCATCCTTCGTCAGGGGGGACACGAAGCTGGTTGCTCGCTGTCAACTGTGCAATGGCGGCCTGTGCCACCGACAAAGCGGCATTAGTCGCCTGGGTTTGCTGTTCGAGTGAAGCACGTGTGTTGCCCAGCTCCTGCTGTTGAGAGCCGAGTTGCGCAGTCAGCTGCTGCATCTGACTGACTTGTTGTTCAAGATTTGCCATTGCAGCTTTGTTTGGGTCATGGTTTTCATAACAACAAAACACCTATATGCATGCTGTAGCCTCGCCATCCTGGAGGCGGTTCCGGAGGTCGTGCCGACGCATACAGTGCGGGCATCAGCGGATCGCCCTGTCTGCCGCCTTCGCCGTCAGCACGTTGTGTCCACGATCGGTTGCATCGTGCACAGTTGCTTGCGAAGGCGTCTTCGCAGTTTGAAGGCCCACCAACGACGGCACATGCAATGCAGGCGACGGGACATGCCTGAGTGCTGGTGTCTTCGCAGTCTGAATGTCAACCAACGACGGCAAATGCAAATGCAATGCCGGCACATGTGCCGGGATGTGCCGGGAACACAAATGCTACTTGCCATTAGGCAGCCTCTTGGAGGAGCAGGCAGTAAAAACATAACTTTACGTTGTTTGTAATTGCACTTGATGCATGACGTCACGTCAGTGTCGAGGACTCTTTGCCCCTGCCCCGCATCAGTTGCATGCCCTGACTCGTGTGCCCATGCCTTGGGGGCCCCCGCCTCGGGCTGCGGCGCTCCTGCACAAAGGCCGGGTGGACAGGCGGTAAAGGCCCGAGGGAAAACAAAAAACACACAAAAACACAAACATGATCGATGTTTAGAAGCTGAGATGGTGGCGGGACAGCCGGACTGCGGCATGGAGCAGGCACGGCAATGTGCCAGCACAAAGTGCCACCCTGCCACGGGCTGCTCCCGCTGCCGTCAGAGGAGATGGTGGCGACACCAAAAACCAGGTACCGAACTAACAACCATGCAGGCCGCACGTCCATACCACGGCCTGATCGGGTGGTAATCGAATGGTAGCGTCCGAACTGCAAGGGCGGCAGTGGCGCATCGTGGCGCGTGCAGCACGATGGTCGCCAAGCAGGGATTTCGAGCGCATGCGAGCGCCACAGCAAAACTACGGCATTTGCAGATGCAACATCAGTCGCAAGACCCGCTATTCACAACATCATCTCAGTGAGACGCGAGAGATGCGCACAGCCAGTTGTGCCCGCACCACCTGTTCAGGCCTTGCACAACCCAGCACCACTCAGCACCCTGACCACCCGCCCAGCCCAACCCCCAAGCATCCTGCAGACCCGCTGCCCTGTTGTTGGAGCCCAAGCTCCCCAAAGCAACTCATTCCCCGCAACATTGAACGATTCACCCAACCCTGCACCGTTTGAGGGGCCCGCTGCGCTGCACTTGCAACGCGAACAGCAGCGCTACGCTCTCTGCACGGAGACGCGGTGCCAGGCTTCCAACCGGTTGGTCTCCGAGAGCTCCCCGCTTGGCTGCCCGCTGGCAGCAAGTCAACCACAGGCATCCATCGCCCTAAGCCACTGCCCCCACCGGCTGACAGACCCATGCCCCGAAGCCTGAAACGCGCAGCCACGGACATGAGTTCCAGCTCATCCTCACTGCCATCACGCAGTGCGACGCACGCGGCGCCGCCTGCCCCATCAACGCATCCACCTTCCACTCCTGCGCCAAAAAGCTTACTGTCTCCCACTCCCCACGGCTTGGGCGACTCGCGGGAGGAATGCTCAACGCAAGGACCGCACGCTCGCGTGCTTCATCATATGGCTTCTCCTGTTCGGTCTTCCAGCAAATTCTGAACGTAACTGACTCCAGGCGCACGAGCGGCAACGCATCGCAAACATCTCGGCCAGCACGCTCGACCACTACGTCGATCAAGTGTGGAACTGCTCCATGGGCGACTGCCGGTGGGCCAAGCTAAGTTCCCTGTGTGACCGAGCACGCGCCCTGGGTGGCGCCGCAGTGCATGGCCCATACGATGGCTGCACCTTCTTTAATGTGTACTGACGCGTCCCTGCAGCCTTGGGTAACAACCGCGCAACTTCTGAGCGACATTCACGTGCTAAGTCTTGCACTGCACAGCCTCAAGCCTTGTCTGCTCGCTGCCGCCGCGCAACGCGAGCTACGCAAAGAGCCACCACTTCAACACGGCCACCACCACGACAGCACTGCACTCTACAGCCGGCATGACATTGCCAGTCTTAACATACAGAACGAAATCCGCGCAACCAAGGGATGGCGACCGCAACGCTCACAATCAACGAGCCAGTCACCATCCCAGCAGGTGAACCACTGGGAGTCCAGCACTGCACAAGAAAGACCTGCATGCCTTGTCACAATAAAACGCGCGGTGCCATCACACTTGCAGACTCCCGCTACACCGGAGTATTCGACGCCGGATGGGCAACCACGCACCGCATGGGCACCGCAAGCCAAAACGCCCCTGCAGGTCAACGAAGCCTGTCCATGATGCGCACCAATTTGCAAATCTGTTTGCCTTGTCCAACTGTCCTCTGCCACCGCGAAATGTGGCCGAGCAGCACGCAAAGCTGCACGACACATAACCAACGGCCCAGCCGCGTCACGCTGCGCATGTTGCCCTTCTCTGTGCCGAGCGCGGCCTTGTCGGCCCACCCTCAAATCTTTTAAGTGTTGTGTCTACGACCTCCTTGCACGAAGTCTCCCTAACAACGCTGTAATCATCACTCAAAATTCATTCCCAAGTCCTGCATCTCTCCGTTTAACTGGCAGTCCCTCCCTGAATCCTGCCCCCTTTCGGGCTTTCCTGCACAATGGATCTTGGCTCACAAGATGATTTTGGGCACCTCATGTGGGATTCTAAACAGGCCCAGCAAGCTCCGAGCGGCATTGCTCCGCTCAGGAGTTAAGCCACGTCAACCGTCGTCAACCTGAATGCCCGACAGCTGCCCATTTTCAGGCTCGGGAATCTTCATCTACGCGAAAATGCAGCAAAAAGGATGAAAGAGTCGGAAATCATGCTGTCGTTTCAGTGCCACAAAGTTGCCATCTGCAGAAAATAATCAAATTGTCGTGCGAAGAATGGATGGGTTTGGGAAGGATTTATTGGATATAATTTAAATGGTAATGGTTTTGGATTGGTGTCACACGTGGCATTCAAAAATAATATTATTTCTGTTTCATTAAAACAATCCTTATTAATATTTTCATCAAATACTCTTAAACTTTCATGCATTGCATTTTCATTTTCATCTTCCAATAAATTGAATGTGCAATAAAATATGAAAAATTAAAAAAAAAAAAAAAAGGCAAAGAAAATCCAACAAAAATAAGGGGTATTATTAATTGTAAAAAATCTATTCAATGTTTTGTTGCATAATTCATTAAATTGTAATATAAAGGTATGTCCAATATGTGATACATTAATTAATAATAATAATATTTGTCCTCCAATACCATTTATTGATGATTTTTCATCAATTTCATCAAGACATGATCAGTTTTCACATTGTTTTAATTTATATAATTTACTAATCACACGAGCTTGGCTAGGGAGGTTTATATTTGGTTAAAACATAATTTTTCAGATTCAAACTGAAATTAAGAGAATTATAAAATTTTATTGTCAAAAATGCAAAACTTGTGTTGAATTTCAGTTTGAAACAGAAAAGATTCTGTAAAAAAAGTGTCAATTTCTTGACTTGTAAAATGCAACAAGATAAAATGATTGTCTTAGATAATGATAATGATAATAATATTGACTACCACATCATTTTTGCACAGCCGCCGCGTGCATGACGTTTTAGATCCCAGCGCATAACGCGTTTAACCCAACGTTGGTTTGGATGTTTGGCAGTGCACGTATCGAGATTCCCTGTCCGTGTCAGAAATCCCACACGTATGACAGTGGCTGTGCCTCAGTCGTCGATATCACCGTTTTCTGGGCATTCAACCGTAGACCGACTTCTTTGATCTCTTCAACCAAATATTGCAGTAAATGTACAGCAGAATAGCCTCATGCGCAGATCTTGCAAACAGCAAACATCATCTGCGAACCGGAAATCCAATATTTTCCATTCCATCATGAAAATTTCCACCCTGTGTCCGGATTTGTTTTTTAAAGCGGGCGCCTCTTTACTACATCAGTAGCACAATA